AGTAAATATATATGCCCCACTAGAAAAAAAGAGAACCTTTTATAAAAAGCTATACCAAGAAATAGGAAGATTAGAATATGAGAGGATCATGATAGCAGGGGATTGAATGGGGTCTGGGACCCTGCTCTGGACAGATCTAATCCTAGAACTAAAAAGGAAAATCAAGGGAAATTACCAATATCAGCATTCACATTGAGAAACAATTTAAACTTAATAGATATGTGAAGATGGTGTCATAATAATGAAAGGGATTATACATTTTATTCTGATAGATTTAAAACATGGTCCAGAATTGATATAATATGCGGTTCGAATCAGCTTAGTAAAGATATATTAAAAATAGAGATAATCCCTAGAACGCTATTGGACCACAATGCCATTGAGGTGGAATTTAAAACAAATAAAAGAGATTATAATTGGAAATTGAAAGATTACTTACTAAAAAATGAAGAACTGTTACAAAGGTTAAAAAATGAATTAAAGCTTTACTTTAAAGAAAATACAAGAGAGAGACTACTAGCTCATATCATATGGGATGCTAGTAAAACTGTTATAAGAGGCTACTTTATTCAACAAGAAATAAGGAAAAAGAAAATAGAACAACAAAAAGAAAAAAGGATAATGGAAAAGCTGAGAGAAAAAGAGCAAAAATTTAAAGAAGTCCCGAAAGATAAGAAAATATATCAAGAATTACAACTATTGAAGAACCAACGTAATCAAAAAATTACACAACAGATAGTGAATAAAATAAAATATCTAAAACAAAAACATTTTGAAAATGCGAATAAGACAGGTAAATGGCTGTCATACCAAATTGAAAAACAAAACAAAAGAAGGACAATAATGAAGTTAGAAGAAAATGGGAAAGAATATACACACCAGGATGAGATTAAACAAATAGCGGTAGGTTACTTTGCAAAATTATTTAAAGCAGACATTCCAACTGAAAATAAAAAAATAAGAATTCAAGAATGTATCAAAAAAGAACAAATATCACAATTTTCGGAGGAACAGAAAAAAGAACTAAATAAGCCAATAACAAAAGAAGAAATAAATAGAACAATAAGGAAATTAAAGGATAACAAAGCCCCAGGACCAGATGGTCTGACAGCCAGATACTACAAAATATTTAAAGATGAGATAATAGACCCTCTATACAATACAATAAAAGAAATTGAAATGGGTTTTTACCCCCAAACATGGGGAGAGGCAACAATAATCTTAATCCTGAAGGATGATAAGGACATAAATCTAATATCAAATTACAGACCAATTTCCTTGTTAAATCTGGATTATACGATTTACGCCTCTATAATAGCTGAAAGATTGAAGAAGGAATTAATATACTAGATACATGAGGACCAAGTGGGCTTTCTGCCAGGTCAGCAAATTAAAAATAACATCAGAACAATTGTGAATATACTAGACTATTATGAAGTGAATCTGAGGAAAAAACTGGGCATTATCCTAATCGACTTTGGAAAAGCGTGTGATAATGTTCATTGGTCCTTTATGAAAGAAGTATTAAAACAAAGCAACATCAGAAATAGAATGCAAATATGGATTAATGCCATTTATTCAAATCAAACTGCACAAATAGATATAAATGGGGAGAAATCAGAGAAATGGAAAATTAACAAAGGGACACATCAAGGCTGCCCCCTCTCCCCACTTCTTTTTATATTGATAATGGAAATCTTGATGAGAAAAATAAGGAATGAGAAGCAAATCAAAGGATTACAGATAGGAAATCAATACTACAAAACAAAAGCATTTGCAGATGACCTAGCAATCATATTAGAAGAACCAAGGAAATGTATAACAAAATTAATATCAATTATTGAAGAAGTATGTAGTATGGCAGGATTTAGAATTAATAAACAAAAAAGTGAGATTTTAACAAAAATTGTTCAAAATCAGATGAGGAGGAGTTAACCAAAAAACCAAATATAAAGATAGTAACAAAAACTATTTAGGTATAATGATAACAAATCAAAATCAAGATCTTGAAAATAATAATTATGTAAAGACATGGAATAAGATTAGAGAGGATTTAAAAAGATGGAAATCTTTACAGTTGTCATTACTTGGAAGAGTAGCAATAATACAATCATATGTGCTTCCTAAAATGTGATACTTAATTCAAAACATCCCAGTGATTACTTCTAACAAAAGCTTTAAGATCTGGTCAAGTGATATAAGAGAATTTATTTGGCAAAAGACGAAAGCAAGAATAAAAACAATAGTTTTACAAGACATGAAAAAAAGGGGGGTTAGGTTTACCTAACCTACAAATCTATTATAGCGCTGCAGCCTTTACCTGGATAAAAGACTGGATAGAGCTAAAGAATAAGAGAACATTGGTTTTGGAAGGGATAAATCTAAAAGGGGGCTGGCACAATTATTTGCAATATGAGGATGAGGTAAAAGATAATAATTTCAATAAACATCTAATTAGAAAAGCACTAATGAAAGTATGGACAAAATACAAGAATTTTATGTATAACAAAATCCCAAGATGGGTCTCACCACAGGAGGCATTCTACAAAGATGAATACCCCAGAAAAAAAGAAATGGCTTACGTATCATGAAATCTTATTCAAAACAGTCAAAGGAGGTAATATATTACCATTATTAGACCTACAAACAAAAAAAGAAAAAGCTGAGTTACACTGGTTAGGATATATTCAAATAAAAGAAAGATTTAAAAGAGATAACCACATAATAGGAATTGAACCAGAAAAAAAGAGAACTAGAAAATATCCTAGAAAAAGGGGAAAAACACATGATATTGCGGCTCTATAAACTTTTGCTAGATATTGATTTAAAAGAGGAATCAATAAAGGAATGCATGATAAAATGGATGCAGGACATGAAAGAAAACATCCCACTTGAAACTTGGGAAGAAGTATGGACAAAAAACTTAAGATTTACTAAAAGTGCTTATCTTATAGAAAATTACCTGTATTGTAAAATGCTCTATAGATGGCATATGTCACCCCAAAAATTAGCCAAATTAACCAATAAAGAGGATAGTTCATGCTGGAAATGTAAACAAAATAAAGCAAACTTGTTTCATAGGTGGTGGAGTTGCGAGTCAGCTGTTAACTTTTGGAATTTGATTCTCACAAAAATACATGATACCTTTCAAATTTACTTTAAGATGGACCCAAAACTATATTTATTGAACATAACAGAAGAATTAAAACACAAAATTAGTAAGGTAGAAAGAGAGGCTGTATTATATATGATAACAGCGGCTCATATAGTATTTGCTAGATACTGGAAAGGGAATAAGGAGAATCTAGAAGAATGGCAAGTAAAACTAATTGAGCTGATGAATATGGACAAACTGACAATGATGATTAAAGACAAAAGGGACCAAAATACCACGAGAAGTGGGAAAAAATAGAGAACTTTGGAATTAAGCACTGAAATGAAGTATGTCTGAAATGAAGTATGTCTGAAGACACAGAAACACTTCCTAATTAATATAACCAGAACTCTTTAGAAGGAAAAGACAATGTAAATGGGATATGTTCAGTATTATTGAGGTTACTATGTACTATGTATTATGTTACTATGTATTAAGATTAGAGTGAAATGGAATGTATGATAAATTTATCTTACTGCTGTAAATAAGAGAATAGATTATAATAATAATAAAAAAGAGGAAAAGGCTTGGAGGCACACAACAGCAAAAACAAGACCAGTCCAGAGCCCTGTTTCAAATTAAATCATAAATTGTCATGACTTGTACTAGCTGAGTCACTTCCATTGAGTAAGATAATACTGCAGGATCCAGGCTTGAAGTAAGGCACTGCAAAATTCTTGAGAAATTTCATGTCTGTTTAAAGCCCTTGTTGGGACTACAGATTGATACTATACCAGCAAAAGTTACTTTTTAAGTCTATAGCTCCTCAAATCCACCAGCCAATATGGCCAGAAACTAGTTGAGAAATTCTGAGAGCTATAGTCTTTTAAAAATGGACAGAGAAGGCAGAAGAACTTTTCTGAGCTTGACCATCAGGGCAAGCAATCATGCCATCCACCTCTCAGTATTGTCTCTATACCATGGGTAGGAATCATACATGCCACAAGATGTTAAGCTGCAGCTCCCAGCAGTTTTAGATGGCATTGCCTATAAATGGAAGCTGCAGTCAAGAAGCACTGGAAAGCTACATTATTCCCCATCCCTGATCTGTATTCTAAATAGTCTTAGATCAGGGGTAGGCAACCTTTTTGAGCCGGGGGCCGGGTTGCTGTCCCTCAGACAATTGAGGGGCCGAAGCACCAAAAATAAATAAATAAATAAATAAATAAATAAATAAATAATTTAAAAAAATAATTTTTTTTAAAAAATATGCACACACACTCTCTCAGCCCCAGAAAAGCCATGGCAAAACCCCTGTGGAGATTTTGCCAAGAAAACCCCAAGAACAAGTAATAACAACAATAATCAATATCATCATGGTGGGGGGGGGGCAGTGGCGGCGGGGACAGAGGCAGGACTGGCCTGGGGCCGGTCCAAAGGCCTCAGGGGGCCGCATCCGGCCCCCCGGGCCTTAGGTTGCCTACCCCTGTCTTAGATCATCAAGTTCTCACAAGGATGTATTGCATCACCTGCCACCTGATACTTTGTAACTAGAGATGTCAGGGGATTGAATCTGGTACTTTCCTTCATACTAAGCATGTGCTTTGCCACTGGGCTGTATAGCCCCTGTCTAAGTTTATTGATGCAAATCAGTTTCCCATACCCAGTGCTTTCCAAACATACTGGCTTACAGCTCTGAATATTTTGTCCAAAGACCATGGATCTATTCTTATGACAGAATTAAACAGCAGCACTATTGTTTTGTTGTGTGCCTTCAAGTCATTTCCAACTCATGGTGGCCCTATCACAGGGCTTTCTCAGCAAATTTCATCAGATGGGGTTTACCATTGCCATCTTCTGAGGCTGAGAGAGTGTGACTTGCCCAGGATCATCCAATTGGTTTCCATGGCTGAGCAGGGATTCGAACCCTGGTTTTCCAGAGTCCTAGTCCAATGCTCAAACCAGTAAGCTATACTGACTCTCATAGCACTATTAGTCTACTTCAACCACTATGCTTCCATCCAATGAAATCTAGGACTGGTATTCTGATGAGGCACTGGATCTCTGTGGCTCAGGATTCAAAATTGCCAATCCCAAGATTCCACTGGATAGAACCATGGCAGTTACAGTGGAATAACAGCAGTATAATTTTGTAGTGTGAACTGGCCCCATGTTGGCTGTAGGTTGTTGTGGTCTAAACATATCTAGAGAGCATCAGTCAAGTTGAGGAATGTTGCTTGAAAATTATTTGGGACATGTTTCCTTTTTCATTTGAAGAGCTGAAAAGATTCTGCCTCTGGGAAGGAGTCTTCTTAGAGATGCATGCCCAGGCTGTCTCTGATCTGTTTACACTTGGTCAAGACAAAAGCCTTTGAGCAGGATTTCCTTCCTAACTGGGAAAAAATGTGTGTATGTGGTTGCTTGGTTTGGCCCAAGCCCTATCCAGAAACACGGAAATGCTCTTTGGGTTAACAGTTCATCTGAGATTCCTGCCTTCTGGCTCAAGAGCCCGACAAATGATCCTGGGGTTAGGGAAATCCAATTTCTTTTCTGGATTCACTAATATACACAAATGGAACCAGCAGCAGCAGCAGACCACAAAGCAACTATGCAAAGCATGAATCAAGGATGCTATGAATCCTTATGGGTCTCCCTCTGCCAAGCCCCAAACCCAAGAATGGAAATACACTTAAGGCTCCTACACTCTCTGGAAGCAAGCCTACCAATTACCTCTGACCCTGCCTGCCAGCTCATACATTCCCTCCTTCCCACATGCATTAGTTGGCACTTTTTAATCATTGCAAATGATACCACAGTTATTTGCTCTGACCCTGCCTTTAAAACCATCAGAGAATTGCAGAGTTCAAAAGGGAGGAAAGATTACTTCCCTGTATTAAGAGATGAGTAGAAAAACTTTCACCAAATGTAAAGAGGAATTAGAACAATTCACTAATGGTTCCACTAAGGCACATATATCTGTCAGTTTAGTTGTTCTCATACATTTACTCATACACTTCCTAAGCAGAGCTCAGCCCTACCATTAGGTAGAATAAGGCAACTGACCCACGCAGCAGATTTGGGTGCCATGAAAGAGCACCTACTTGTTAGTTATATACAGGGTTATTATTCTGTTTTTACTGCCAGGGAAGGGGAGAGAAGTCTGTGCAATTTCAGACATCATGATCTAAAAAATACTTTGGCCTTGAGCACCATGCATTTTGGGGGAGGGGGTGGTTAAAATAAGAGTGCTATTTACTTCCAAGTCTCAGGTAACAGGATATGTTGGAACATTCTTGTTCCTGAAGAAGTCTCATTTCATGGGTCTGCAACAAAATAATCTCTCCTGGTCCAATCCAGGAGATATTCTGGACCAAGGATATCTTGTTCCTCCTCTGTCCCTGATGTGATCTCTTTCATGCTTTCCGTTCTTATCCTGCCTTCTGCAAGATCTCTGTAGTCATTACTTAGCTGATATGAAAACTGTTCCCAGTTACTTTCCCAAAGTTGTGGTGGGAGGACCAAAGCATGATTCATTTCTTGACATCTACACATTGTGTATGGATTTGACAGAGTTTTCCTCAATCTGTTGCCCAACAGATGTATCCAAGTAGAACTCACATCATCCCTGTGCTTGTTCAGGATGATGGAACTGTAGTCCAACACATCTGAAAGGGGCTGGGTTGGGAAAGGCTGTTGTCTAGAGCAGATGGATTGGGGAGAGAAAGAACGTGGGAGAAAAAAGCCACTGTGTTTTCTCTGAGTAAACCATCTAAACCACTCCTGATTTGACTCTTGACAAGTTGCTCAGTTGCATCACTCCTTTTGAAGAGCTGACAGATTAAAAATGTTATGTCTCTCTCCTCCCTGACTCCACCGCACCATTCTTTATCCATCCATAGATATGAATCTGCCACCTGGCACAGTATTTTAACTGGCAAGCTGTCCCATATTTTACAAAGTAACATTGCCAGTTTAAACAGATCTTTGTGCAGCCATGTTAGGGTGTCATGTACCTTACTTTACAGCTGGCAATGTTCCATTTTGAATGACAGTCAGAGGTCAGTCCTTTCTTTGAAGACATCTTCTATATATGGAAGGACAACAGTGACCTGCAAAGTTGCTGGACTGCAACTCCCAGGATCCCTCACTATTGGCTATGGCAGCCAGGTACTGATGGGAATTGCAGCCCAACAACATCTGGAAGGTCAAAGGTTAACCACCACTATTCTTTCTCTATCCAATTCAAATTCAACATATAGATAGAGTCATCAAAAGGAGAACAAGAACAACAAAGTTGACTGTTAAATCAGTTGTACACCTAAACAGCAGCAGTGACAACTGGAGCCTACTATATGTCACTGGGGCTATGAATCCGAACCTATCTCCAAAAATACATTCAGCACCTAAGGACAGCTCCTTTAAACTTCACACTAAAATCGGACCAGTATGACCCTCTGACATGGGAGCCACCAATTGCCATGGGACAGCAGACATGTAGGTCACCAAGTCACCCACTAGGATGAGTTTTGTCATGTTCCCACTAAAATTGTAGTAAATAATAATAATACACAATAATAATACTTCTGCATGTGCATCTATTATGCTGATATGAATCCTCTTTTGTTTTCCTTCTTGTCTCTTTGGCTTGATGGCACATTTTCACCTTTTTTGGCAATCCACAAGTGGCTAGCTTAGGCCATCTTGAACAAGGACTGGAGAAAATAGTCAAACTGTCATAGAGGAAACAAGGCAA